AGACCCACGACACTCACCATCGACGGTGTGCAGCAGCTGCCGACTGGGCAGGATGTTGAGCAGCTGCGCCTGCGACGAGGACACCCCGCCCGAGAGGCCATCGTCGGCCTCCAGACCGGCCTGCGACGACGGAAAGTGCTCCTGGTAGAACTCGCCGCGCGCCTCCTCCCAGGTGGAGGTTTGGGGGCGCGAGCGGCGCGCCATGCCAGTCGCCGCCGCTCACCAGTCCGCCCGGCGCGCTACTGTCGGCACAGGACGGGCGCGGGCCGCGTCACCGGCGGTGTCACAGTCATAAACACGGCAGCGGCGGCGGCGGTCAGGAGGGGGCGGGGGGGGGGGGGGCAGTGGCCTTACAGGAGCGGAGTGGAGTACAGCCGACCGTAGGGAGGGGGAGGGAGGGGTGATAGTGGGAATTAGCAGCGAACACGGTCAGAGCCGGTGTGAGGGAGCTCGGTTACGTCGGACAGAAAGCTAACACAGAGTGAGTCACATGAGACTAGACAACTAGCGGTGAACTGGGGGGGGGGGGGGCGGGGCTCGGATGATTGATGGGATCGAATGGCAGCGGTGAATGCGCACCATATGCGATAGCATTGAGAACGAAACCACAGCCAGCGAAACAATACGCCAAATAGCGCGCCGCCAGTCTGCGTATTGGCCGTGACGACTGTTCAGGGCCATCTTCCGCCCTTTGTGCATGGAGGCAGGACGGTTTCGTCACTTCCACGGCAGCCACAGTGCGTCTACTATTGACGGCGGGAGTGACAGAAAATATGAGTTTGGATACAACACACTTAGCACCGCCGGCCATCACTGTCCGTTTGTGGAAAACGTCTAGAGTCCTCCAAAATGAAAGTGAGCCCTTGCATATTCTGTCGTTAGGGTTTGAAAGCTCGCACCGTTACTGACGAAACCGGTCAGTAACAGACCCCTCACGCGGCACGCCACGTCGGTCGCGAAAACCGCCACCCGTCCTCCGCAACCGACCGGTTCCACCGGCGTATTGTTTGTCAGCTAACGGCCGGCACCTAACCGCTAGCGGTGTCAGGTACATGCAAGCGTTTTTGCAGTCAAAATTACAGCTAAGTCTGTTCGCCGCGTCGATTCGGGTAGAGTATTGGTACATTGCAACTTGCAAGCACAAAAGCTGGTAACATGCATTTGCTTGCACCATACCCTTTCATTAGACATGCCTAATAATTTCTTGGACACAAAGCACAAGGAAGTTCACAACTCAGTAAGAATGGATGCTGAGTCATAGCTGGCACATTTTGTCCAAAGCAAGAGCCAAAGGAAAAAGGTTGTCCACTGTCCAGCCCAGAGCAATAAAAAAGGTTAGATACTCCTGATTAAAAACAAAAACAAAGCTAAAAGACCAATTGATTTCAAACCAACATACATATTCCATCTTCACTTATCAGCCATGGCACAGTCACTATCCCCAAAAATGAGCATAATGCATATCATTCAGTCTGTATTGATGAGATAATTAGACAGGCAGGTATTTTATTGTCTGCTGAAGCATGCCTACTTTTGAGTTTTGACACATTATTGCCCAAAAAGTTTGTGATAATTTCATATCACATATGACCATATCAGACATGAGGAACAAATGGGTCATGGATACAAATTACTCCTGCACTTGCAGTATCCAAGAGCCACCTACTTCCACATGGCTGGTTACCATTCACATAACTGTGACTGAGAGTGCCTAAAAACTATTTACTGAATGCATGACTCATGAGACAATTGTCACTAATAACATTGACCCATCCAGTGAGGCCATTCATTTATAATAAGAATCAAGCCAGTAAAAACTGACATGACTAATTGGGTATCAGGTGTTGATTAAGTGATGTCTTATATGCATATTTTCACTCTCAACCTCATCACTTGCTGAAATGCTAAATATAATTCCTAAGTAGGTCTAGCTAGTAGCTACTAGCTAGGGTCAGCTAATAATTTTTTGTTGGCAATCTGATGAAATACAGATCACTTCCCATGACCTGGTGGCCTGAAGTAAGGACTGAAGAGGCTGGAGGTTTACATGAAATCTGGTGAAAGTAGCATGTGTAGAGAAGAGGAATGAAGCTACCATTATCCTAAGCAAATATTTTAGCCCCTCTGACAGTTTGACCTGACCCATGCTTATAGAGCTCCTGAGGCAAATGGTAGTTAAGTCCATACCAATTCATTTCCATCATCAACAAACACAGTTGGCAACACAGTTTTATTCTTAATCTATGCTGAAACTGGTAAAAATATAGGTGTGGTGCCCTGTAGGTACCATCCTCAAGTCACAACTGATGTCACTAACATTATTGTTATTGATAGGTTTAAGGAGGCACCTGTCAATATCTATCCACCACCTTTCACCTGAAATTCAGGATTAGCTGGCTCAATAGGAAGTTCTGGGAAAAAGTAGGCATAGGTAGAGCTTCAGACTATTATAATCAACCAGACTAGTATAAAGAGATATCATATTTTACCAGAAGCATTGGGTTACTATTTCCATATTTGCATCACAAATAAGTGGCACACCAATTTGAAAAAAAAATGGGGATACGAACTCAACTAACTAAACTTAACTAAAAAAAAACTGAACTAAAAGAGCACACTTTTTAGACAGCAGAGTACAGGAAACAATAAGTTATACATCAATTATTTTGATGCAAAACAATTATAAAACATTTCATTGATGAAAGAAACTGCACAATGCCTCACTCACCAAAATATCAACAGGAGGAGTTCCGCTCCGTCCGCTCCGTCACAGACCGAAATCCAATGCAAGCATGAAACAGCCAAGCAAATTTCATTTTGATATCCGAAATAATCCAGGAAAATAACAAGAAGTGAAGTGTTCAGGACACAGCCTTCCGGTACCGGTACACAAGGGAACACATGAAAGGCGGCGAGATGTTTTACCAATGAATTGCCAGGAAACGTAACTTGTTAGCAGCAAAGCGCTGAAGAAAGCTGAATTTAATACGCCAAAAATGCCCTACCTGCGCCATAAACAGGGCGCAATTCATTTTCAAGAGTTACAGTTGCCAAATTCTTACTGCAATTATCATACACTACAGATAAGTCACAATTGATTTTCTTCATTGTATTTAGAGACAAAGTCATGAAAATATTGAAATATGTCCATACAATCGATAAATCATTTTAGTAAAAAGTTTTCAGCTTCTACCCCTAGAAGTAGCACTGTCAAAAACAACGTTGTTGACAACTCAAACTGGAACTACGCCTGGAGAGCTAGAGCACAAGCGATCAGGCCCATGTCGTCCCCTATCTCCCTGTGTGTCCGACCCCCACCGGACACGATTTGGTAGCCGAGGTCTGTGACGTCAGCCGGGCGTGAAGTTTTCCCTTCACCATAGGCTTCACACACAAACCGGCCGAAGTTCATGCCAGGATAGCCCGGCTTGAAAGTGCAAAAATGATTAAATTTTGCCCTCAATAGATTCATTGCTTCATTTTATAACTAAAAACGTCCGTAATTAGGACTCAATGAAGGTAAAAAATACTCAAAATCGAAGTTCAAGAAGATGCTGTCCGAGCACAATCTGGTAACATCACGTGACCTCTTTTAAGCAGAATGTATATAATTCAAGGATGTTATTACACGATTGCTGCCTAAAACATCATAAATAATACGCTTGTAACATTTATTGCTTCTGTTTAAGTCATAACATTGCAAAACGCAAAGTTTGTCATGGAAGTCACGTGACCAAAGGTATAGCAGGGGTTGGGACAAGCACTCAAAGGATTTCAAGTTTTTTAATTAAATTATATAAGTTTCATGATGAAATTGATAGAATGTATTTTTTCCGAATGAAATACAAATTTTCGTATGTAAAATATTTTTCTTATGGGCGAAATTCTCCATATAAGAAATGTCAGTGACGTCACCAGGGCTTTACGTGGGCTTTACTCAAAACATCGGACCTACCTGTTTCTTATAGGTATCTTGTGTGTGTCCAAGTGCACAGATGACGTCACACGGAGGGGCGGAGTCGGGGGCGGAGCCTGGCGCAACGGCCGCCATATTTGAATTTGTTTTATTAGAATGTATTGTATATTTTGGGTTTCAGTCAATTGTTATCGATAGTTTTATGAACGGTTAGCTGTAATATAAGTGATTTATCAAGAAAAAACACATATTCTGCTTGCAATTTCGATTTAAGTACGACCCGCGCCTAGATTCGAACACACGATCTTTGGATTACGGCGCAAGCATCCTAACCACTACACTACCGCGGCGGCGTGGCGGCCGGCGGAAGGGAGGCTGCGGAGGCATGGGGGCTTTTTTACGCATTTTTGGAAAAACTAATGGGTTTAGTGAAAAACGCTTCCTAGATAATTCGAAGAAAAATGTCTCGGCTTTCCGATGATGCACTTAGTTTTGTGCTACCTTTAGCAGAGTTTGTTCTACAGCGCTTCAAAAATCGCCCATTTGCATAGGACTTAAACGGGACTTCAAGACTTGCCCCCAGATGACGTCACGAGCTGACGTCACGATCAGGTAGAATCGCCGGACGACCCTACCTGGTATATAGGGCCTTGCAAGCGATCCCAGGCATTACGCTACACGCTGTTATTTCATTCATTTTTGTCATTTCTCATCATAAAACGCCTCCAGTCGAATTTCGAAACTTTCTTGCCACTTCTAATTTTTCCATTTTACGATGCAGTTTGCAATAAATTATCACATCATTCCTTCCATTATTTCAATGACGTCATATGATTCTCAGTAGCGGTTGGCCGGTTGGCGGTTAGCCACTTCTCATAAATTAACTGGAAATATATTTTTAAGTGTTATTTATTCTTAACGTTTAGTAAGGTTCGATAATATTTGTGTCAAAATGAACAATTAATTTAATGCTTTTTTGTCCTTTTTTTCTCTAATATGTCCTGTTCGCGTAACTTTTCACCTAAGGAGACCAATGACGTATTTTTCTATTGCAAAATATTGGTCATCAGAAAAACTGCATGCTATCTACGGATTTTTGGCAGTCTTGGCAGTAGTTTTTGGAATTATTAGGTTAGGAATGAGAATGATTGAGGAAGATAAATAGTTCAAGACTCTTTGGTATTTATTTTTCTTAATTTAGCTGGATGATGTACGTCATTTACAATCTGTTATTTATCGATCTGGGATAGCTGTACATATAGGCTATAGCCGATAGGAAACAACAGCATCAGTATTTCAGTTGATAGGCATCAATGTAACTATACTGTAGGTATTCATCTCAATCTGAGATTCTTGGCTGCTTTCGTAGTTTCTCTATTGGGTCAGCCTGAGCCAATCTAACCTGAACTGTAATGCTTTTGCATCTTTCGTTTTGCATGTATTTACGATCATGGGCAGTAATCGCCACGCCATGTGTGGATCGCCCATGATCGTAAACACAATACAACACAATACAATATACAATACATCAGAGCAGAGAGTGAACACTCACAAGAAGCAACAATTTTCATGAATCATGTTAGATGACAAAATTGTATTGGTTCCTGAAAATGCAACTTCAAAGCACATTGATCATGATGTGCATGCCCGAAGTATGCCTGCCGCTGAGTTTGATGGGAATGCATGTCTGGCAAGTTCAATCAGTCCAGACGTATTGATCTGAATGGATGAGAAAATGGATCTGGGATTTGATCCCATGGATCCCAATCTTGGATCTGAAGGGATCATGGATCCATCTCTTTCATGTATCAAGGGGTCCATTAGGATCATACATCTGAGCCTTTTTCACTTGAGATCAAGTTAGATGATAGATTCTCATTTGTTTTCTTCACACAGAAATTCCAAAGATCCATATGTTGCAGCTGACAAAACTTCCATTTCAGTAATTCTATGTGACTGCACACCACAATTCATAGTTTTGTGACACTTATTGGCATAGAAACCCTTGGAAACAAGGTTTTTAATGCTGTTCATGTTGGGATCCACTTGTTTAATAGATCCATGTTCTTAGTTTATTGGCAGATCCTATGAGCTCATAGATCCCAATTCCCATGTACTTTTTCATGTGGTACCTGGTGGGATCATAGATCCTAATTGGCAGTTTTATTTGAGATCCACTGAGATCATAGAATAGATACATCACTTAGATCCATGCACATCTGCCTGAAAGCTGGCACAGTGTATTAAATTGAAGTTTACAGGCTCTGCACAAACAAAACTGCTATAAGTCAGCCCAACCAGTTAAGGTGTCATGCTGCGTATTCGTGGTAGGTGTCAATCACCGCTTAGAGGTTTGTGACATGTTACAAGGTACCAAAACTACTTTGTGAATGCTCAAATGGAGTTGGTCCCGTAGCTCAGTCTTTAGAGCGTTGGTCTACACGTGGTGAGAGCACTCTTTCCCGGTGACAACTGTCCAGAGGGCAGTTCACAGGCCCTGTGTGCGGTCGGACCGTACACAGCGCTCGATGCTAATGAGCCTGCTGAGAGGTATGGTTGCGGTTGGTGGCAGGCCACAGCCAGTCAAAGTGATGGGGACCGGCCATGCGTGGCTTTGTGCGTATGTTAAGCTTCGGACTATAAATTCTGCCATAGACAAGGAATTGCGCGATCAGAAGGTAGAGGGCAGGGCCAACACAACAAGCTCCACTTAGCGGGGGCTCTGTGCTTTAATTCTTCCATTCAAAAGGTTTGGACCAAATTTATATGAAAAAAGGTTGCTAAATTCGAAATCATCTCCAAAAACTACCACAGAGACATGTAAAACTCGAAAAAGTGAACCAAGGTCTTCAATGGTCAATGACCTTGACCTGACCTTCACGTGACCGTGACACCCACCTTACTGCATGGGATCAACATCATTTCACATGTTTGAACTTAAAAACCACAAAAAGACTGGAAACGCAGGGATAATGTGAGCCGACATACGCCGAATCGCGATTCAGGCCGAACATGGCCTCGAGAAATAGGTCTCAGGTCAAAGGTCATTTGGGTCAGGATCATTACATTTTCAAGGTATGTGTAGATATGTACTTTGTAGAACTGATAAACTCGAGGGTACTGAAAGTTCGCGATCGGTCGTGTTTTGCGAAAATAATTTGCGAAAAACCAGAGGGCGCGTTCGACCATCCCCGGCCTGTAAGTGCGAGGGTTAAAAGAGTATGGTATTGGGGTCAGTAAGCGATGACGATTCTGCATGGTTTGCTCTCGTGGCATTAGCACCCTTTGAATGGGAGCTCTCTGAGGGTGAGCGTCCTGATTGGAATTGATGCCTGGGCTGGGCCATGGATGAAGTATTCTTAATCCATACCTAATATATGTAATGGCTGGGCCTCGCATGCCTGAGACTTGTGAATGGAGGTCTGAGTTAGGCTAGCGGGGCCCTGTGCACGCCCAAGATCTCGTCGAACTGTGCCATGTACGACGAGTTGTCTGGTGAAAGTGAACATCGAACAAATATTTTTGGGATTTTAACAGTATATTGTTTCAAGTGGTTCCCTCAAAAATCGAAAATTGCCTGTTCACAGGTTTACATCATTAACCTTCAGTGGAGTAACATGTCACAGATATTCTAATAACCATATCCTGTATGAGATGGAATCATTCTGGTCTATAGAGGTCGGTATCTGGCTGCTAGACCCAGCTATCCAGTGGCCAGGGCAGGATGCGCCGTTCAGTCTCATGTTGTTCAAAGGGACTTAACAGCTAGCATTTAACGAATGTTAGATACCTGAAATGTGCTGAACAAACGTGCTGTTATGCATCTAACTTAAGATGTAGTCTGTAGCCTTTTCATTTTTAGGTATTTAACTTCAATTCTCCTTTCCAGTTTGCTGTTCTGAAGTGGTGAGAGCGAAATGGCTGCAATGGAAGTCGGCAATGATGTCCAGGAGCAGGTAAGGACACTTCAGGGAGATGGGCTAGGTGGCTAAGGAAATTGGCTGATTGTTACGGAGCGAGCGAAGCGAGCGGAGTCTTACGTAGAATAACGGAAATTTCTGAGTATGAGCGGCCGGCCGTGGTCACGGTTCTGCGACGCTTATATCTCAGCAACCACTTGACCGATTTCCATGCGGTAATTTTTGTAGGGTAGCTTCATTCCTTCTACCAAGTATTGGACTATTCCCGATGCATGTGGGTGACCCCTTATGCACGTGCCACGTGCAAAACGAAGAGGTGTCACTTTTGTAATTGTTGCAATATCTCGGTAACTATTTGGCCGATTGCGCTGAAAGTTGGCATGAAGGTAGGCACCCACTAGGCACTGCATATCCATGTGCCAGAGTTGGGGTGCTGCTGCACGTGCGCACGTGCAGGGGTCGATTCCAAATCTCGAGAACGGCTGGACCGATAGCGCTCAAATTTGGTACATGGCTAAGGACCGGTTAGCAGGGTGCCGTGCAAAAGTCAATTGGGACCCATTTTGCACGTGCGCACGTGCAGGGTGCCGCTTCCAGATCTCGAGAACGTGCTCAAATTTGGCACATCGCTAGAGACCGGTTAGTAGGGTGCCGTGCACAAGTCAGCTGGAGGTACCCCGTCGAAATTTCGCACGTGCAAGGCTCACGGTCCTCTCGCTCGCTCCGTTACTCGCCCCAAAAGGCGTTATACTGGTTATTACGGAGCGAGCAAAGCGAGCGTAGTCTTTCCTTAGATTAACGGAAATTTTTGAGTATGAGCGTCCGGCTGTGGTCACGCTTTTGCGAGGCTTATATCTCAGCAACCACTTGACCGATTTACATACGGTAATTTTTGTAGCGTAGCTTCTTTCCTTCTACCAAGTATTGGACTATTCCCGATGCATGTGAGTGACCCCTTATGCACGTGCCACGTGCAAAACGGAGAGGTGTCACTTTTGTAATAGTTGCAATATCTCGCTAACTACTGGGCCGATTGCGCTGAAAGTTGGCATGTAGGTAGGCATCCACTAGGCAATGCATATCCATGTGCCAGAGTTGGGGTGCTGCTGCACGTGCGCACGTGCAGGGGTCGTTTCCAGATCTCGAGAACGGCTGGACCGATTGCGCTCAAATTTGGTACACGGTTACGGAGCAGTTAGTAGGGTGCCGTGCAAAAGTCAGTTGGGACCCATTTTGCACGTGCGCACGTGCAGGGTGCCGCTTCCAGATCTCGAGAACGGCTGGGCTGATTGTGCTCAAATTTGGCACATCGCTAGAGACCGGTTAGTAGGGTGCCGTGCACAAATCAGTTGGAGGTACCCCCTCGCAATTTCGCACGTGCAAGGCCCACCCTCTCGCTCGCTCCGTTAGTCGCCCCAAAAGGCGTTATACTGGTAATATGCTAGCCCTTCATTTTTTTCATGGAGCATACATTGTCAGTTGTCACAGTGTCATGGACGCATGATGTTTGTCAGTTCAACAACGATTTTTGTCTCCAGCATTTCTAGTACCGCTGTTAGGTATCTGTAAATGCTCAAGGCGAGGTTGACATTGTGTTCGCCTCGTTCTCAGTGTGTGGAGCTGCTCAACGAAGCCGCCCTGCTCACGGACGACGTCAAAAAGGTGGCCAACCTGAAGAAGGTGCAGGAGCTCATCATCCACCAGGACCCGGCGCTGCTGGACAACTTCCTGGACGAGGTGGTGGCCTTCCAGTCGGACACCAACGCCGAGGTGCGCCGCGCAGTGCTCGGCTTTATCGAGGAGGCGTGCCGCAAAGACCACGAGATGGTGCCCAAGGTGGTGGCCAACCTGAGCCTGCTGCTGCAGGACAGCTTCTCGGTGGCCGTGGTGAAGCGGACCATCCAGGCGATCGGCAACATCTACAAGATCACGCTGCAGTGGCTGAGCCAGGCGCGCTCCGTCACCGACCTCATGGACTCGGCCTGGAGCATGCTCGGACAGATGAAGCGACAGATCATCAGCTACGTGGACCACGACAACGACGGCGTGCGCACGATGGCCGTCAAGTTCATGGAGATGGTGGTTCTTCTCCAGACCTACTCGGAGCCAGGCAGCCTGAAGCGCCAGGAGTTCTGTCTGGACGGGGTGCCGATGACGCTGAAGATCGCCCGGCCGAGGAAGCTGGAGGAGGAGGCCCGCACCGTGTTCGCCGAGATGATCAAGTTCCATGGCTCGCCGCACATCAGCAGCGTGAACCTGATGGCGTGTATGGGCTCTCTGACGCTGATCGCTCGCTGTCGGCCGTCGTTTATCGGCCAGGTGATCTCAGCCCTCGAATCGCTTCACGCCAATCTTCCTCCGACGCTGTCAAAGTCACAGGTCAACTCGGTACGCAAGCACATGAAGATGCAGCTGCTGAACCTGCTGAAGCACCCGGCCTCGTACGACAGCCACCGCAACATCTGCACGCTGCTGACGGACCTTGGCGCCTCTCAGAGCGAGGTGGCCCGCGCCATGCCGCCCGCCGAGGAGCTCCGAAAGCGGCAGCGGCGCACCGAGGAGCCGCCCGGCGCCGCGGACGACGACACTCCCGGCACCAAGCGGCAGAAGTTCGTCCCAGAGGACGACGACGATGACGACGAAGAGGTTCCCGCCGGCCGCGTCGCGTCGGGAGCCCGTCTGGCGCCCGTGGATAAGATGAAGCACAAGCTGAACGCGATCGACATCACAGAGACGTGGGCGGCGGAGCGTCTGACGCCGCAGCTGGCCGCCGACCTGGTGCTGGTCTCCATGCAGCACCTGCCGGACGCGCCGCCGGCCCTCTTCAGTAACACGTTCACGCCCATCTCTGCGGCTGGCACCCGGTCCCAGATCCAGCACGTGGCGCGCCTGCTGGCCGCCCAGCTGACCAAGGCCGGCCTGGGACCGGGCGTGGAGGCGACGCGTAACCAGGGCATCCAGATGACCGACGTGAGTACACAGCTGCACGGTGACGTGCCTGGGTCTGTCTGGACCGGTGGTGTTGTCAGAAAACTGGCTCGTTTCTTCATATAGGAGACAATGGAGACTAATTTATCAATCGATAGATTATATTTTATTTGTTAACATTATTGTTATTTTTTTGTAATAAGTCCAGACACCCCTTTGAAGCATGCTTGTTTTGCGATTATGAATAATATAGGTACCTAGATTTTCCGTGTCCTACGCCTGACACTAATGCTGTTTCCGCGTATGTTCTGATGCAAGTTTCTGACGCGCTCAGAACCAAAATCATCATCACCGCCGCCAACATGACCATCATCACCATTGCTCGGCAGCACGACTGGGAGATGGAGGACGAGGAGGAGGCTCCGGCCGGCTCCCGGCGGCCCATCGCCACCGTCCTCTCCGGCACCGTCACCGGACGAGAGGCCAAGAAAAAGGTGGCACTACTCCCCTCCGGACAGATGCACAAAAAACACATGGTGAGTCGTGAGGTTTTGTGGCTAACGCCGTCGATGTGTCTCGAAAGCCCGCATGATTGACAAAATTTGCCTTAGCTCACACACCCGAATGGCATGCGACGAAAAACGCAGTTTCGTTTTTCGTCGATAACTGTTTCGACATTGATGGATTCACCCAGACTGGTTTTTGATTCACCTTTTTTGGATCGATTCAATCATTGATTCATTTGATTTTTGTTTGATTCAATCACCGTTTGATTCCTTCAAAAAATTTGGTGAATCGATTCCTTTTGATTCAGAGAATCAAAAAACAATAAAAGGAATGATTCACGTTTGATTCAGCCAATTTTTTTAATGATTCTTTTTTGATTCAATTAAAAAATAAAATATACAAAATATCAGGGATAGTATTGTATTTGTTGTGTTCTTTTTGTTGTCATGTAATGGCAGTAGTTTAAAGGTAGTGTGCCAGCTTTCTTGGACCGTATGGAGTTAATGGCCCAGATAAGGAGAACCGGATTTTTAGAACTTATCCATACCTTCAAAACTCATGGAAACGTCTTAAATTCTTCAAATTTTGAGTACCCCAGTGCGAAATTCGCCCCGACGGGTTGTCGGTCGTACCCCAACCACATTTCACACCACTATGAGCAATAAATGCACACACTGAAATCGCTATTACCGATATGCTCATCCAATCAAGTTTCGATAAACCCGTTCATCATCATCTCCTGCGGTTTCGAACACGCCTGTTAGGTGGCTTTCGATGCTCGTCGAGGTCGGAATTTCCAAATACGCGTGGTGCGTCGGGCCGCGCGCTCTGACTTCGGCCAAGAAAAATGCGTCAGCTGATCATTGTCATTTCAGTGCCACTTGCGTGTGGTGAAATGGGGTCATAACTTATAAGACGGCTTTTTCATATCAATTATTTTACATAAAATCATATTTCAAACCATAAATAATGTTCGACAGCCAAATAAAAGAAACAATACCAATACGGGCTTACAGTTTAAGGCTCGACATTGTGTTGTCTACGATTAGACAGCTGATAACTCATTCCCGTACGTCGTATGGTCGTAACACTATAATGACCTTTGCTTATTGTCACAAGTGCGCCGCATTCGCGATTGTTGCCCGACGCCTGTTTGCAGGTGAGCCCACTACAGTTGTTATACATATCTAAAAACCGATAAACTTTTAGGCGAAAAAGGCACTATTCCAGGCCCATTTTTGATTTTTTTTGCGATATTAGGTAAAAACAGAAGCTTCTTATCCTAGGAAAAATAAAATGGGAAATCTTTCAAAGGTGGCACACTACCTTTAAGTTCATGAATCATTAATTTTTTTTGATTCAATCAACCCTGATTCCCAATGCGTTTGATTCAATCATGGCTTGTGAATCAAACAATTCTGACGGTGAATCAAACCTTTTTGATTCAACAAATTTTGTTTGATTCAATCCAATCGATTCAATCACAGATGAATTAAACCAAGGCTATAGAACTCCAGGTAAGGACACCAGCCGTTTGACCTTGAACGCCGCCGGCCGGCCGATGACGTCATTGGAGGCAAGCCGGCTCGGCGGACGCATCGAGCGAGCGTATAACGGAGGAGCGTTGGACGTTGCGGGAGCCGGGGAGAGATTTTAAAGCGTTTGCATACCACTATTGTTATGTTGATTGATCTAGACTGCATTCTTATAAAGCTCGACGCATCTTAGGCCTGGATGGTGCGTACATTCGTAGAACGGTCCGACGTCCGTGGTCGAAGCTGTCTACTCTACATGTACAAAAGACGCTAAGACCGGTGCAATAACGGCGACCCGATCCCGTCCCTGGCGATTCTAGGACTCGACGACTCGTTAGGACCCAGGCCGAGTCTGACCCGTCTATTTTTAGGGAAACGGGGTGGGTGAATTGACAACCGAGTACCGATGGTTAGAATTGATCCCGTCGTCGAGCGATGGTTGATTGACAGACAACACATGTTGTAGTGGGCGGATAAGCATCAGGGATAATGCCTGAACGTAGGCAAGCAATAAGCATAATTGGTCAGCCAAATTGTTTAGGAATATAAAATCGTAACGGAGGTCCTTGAGGATATTATCTTTACATTACGAGGATTCACCACCAGTGACATTACTTACTACTGTTAAACCCTCGGTCCCGGGCAACTCCGGGGAGCTGCAGTATCCGGCGGCCACCTTGTCGACTTGCAGGTCCTGTGGGCTTCCGTGGTGCTTCAGTGCTTCACCCAGAGGCACGGGTAGAGCAGTAGGATGTGGGGTGAGGTGTCTGTACGCCTCTTCATTGTAGGTACAGTCTGTCTTAAAAGTACCGCGCAAAGTGACGGTGGATCCATCAAGCCTGACCGAGGAAGGGCCTGCTATAATTTGTAAGTCACCGAACCAATGGAGCTGGGGAATGGACGAGGATGTCCATTGCTTCGGTGACTCAAATTTGGCAGTCCTTCATCGGTCAGGCTTGATGGATCCACCGTCACTTTGCGCGGTACTTTTAAGACAGACTGTACGACGCATACAGCGCCCAGTCCCGCCGAAGCTCGATAATCGACCGTGACATATTCTTAATTGGCGGATCCAGGAAACGGTCTTGAACACATCGGGGGGCATATACCTACCCTAAAAAAGGTTTCTGTGAATTAAAAAAAAAAAAAACATCGGATTTCGATTCCTTGCGCACTACTGTGCACTTCGATCAATACACTTTTCCTCATAAAAGTTGTAAAGTTTTCGTTTTATTCTCGAAAACGATTTCGGACGCTGCCCCGGATGTGGGCCTGTGGTGGATAACATTTGTCCCAAATGCCTTCCCTTGCATCCGCCAGCGGGTTGCCGCGCCTTGAGCTGAACTAAAAACGTCTTAAAGGAAAAGGGCCACCTTCGTGAAATATGAAGATATCGTTATTTTTCATTTTGACATTATTATTTTCATTTTCTTTTTAAAACTGGTGCCAGAAGTGCACAATTCGCGAAAAAGTATTTAAAACTATTTAACATATTGGTACTATGTTGATACTCTCTACGGCACCTACTGTATGATGGCATAGCGATGACGTCACACTCAAGCCAATCAGCGTTCAGAAGACAGACTCGTCGGATTGTGTCAGATAAGCTGATTGGTTAAAGCTGAGCTGGTTGGAGCTGATTGGTAAAAAACCAAAGCCTCGCCGCGGGTGGCTGTATTGTGGGATAAGAACGCATTCCTTGGATAAGGACGCATTCCTGGCGTATTTTCTTTTAAAATTGCCGATAACTACGAATGGAGGCCGAAATCGGCCGTAAGGAGGTACACAGATAGGTTTTCGGACACGGGCTACAAGATGGCTATCTCAGTTTCAATCCCCATGTTAAAGGTGGCCCTTTTCCTTTAACCTTCCAGGCGGTGGGGGGGGGGGCATTTTTTTGCCCCCCTCCTTTAGTTTTTGCGATATATCTCGAGAACTGCTGCGCCGATCGTCACCAAACTTTCAGTACCCTCCCGGGAGCAGCTAGCGCACATGGTGACCAAAATTTTCCCAAAGGCTATGATAGGTTGGCCGCTAATGACGTCAGAGTGACGTCATTTTTGCCATTTTCGACCCAAAAAAATGTTTCGCGGGAAGAGCTGTCAGGCCTACAGCTTTAGAGATACAGAAAAATGTATCAATATAAAAGGTGTGGAATTAAAAGGGCTACAAAACTGCTATTTCGGTTTTTCGAATTTTTGGGATTTTGACCCCAAAAAATCAAAAAAATATATTTTTTGAATATAATAGCCAAAAAAATCCAAAAAGTTTTTTTTGAATTTCGAAAAAAACCGGAATATATGTGATGGCCCCTACCGTCTTCTATCTACATACCAAATTTGAGATCGATACCTCTTTTTTTGGCCAAGTTATAGCGAAAAAAGTTCAAAATTGATGACGTCAAATTTTCAAACTCAATTTTTAGCCATTCTAGACCTCATAGCGCAAAACAAAGACCACCATTAGACTCCCCGTGACGAGCTGCATCGAATCGATACCCATTTTATGCAAAAATATCAACTTTGAAATTTGACCGTTTTGACCTGACCTTGACCTGACCTCCGCCAGAAAGTGACCTAAACCCTACCTGATGGTCTTATAACCAACACCATTGAGTTGGAAATGAAAAACTGGCCATAAAACATGCATCGCATAACCCTAGTAAAGTTGGGCTCATGTGGTGACCCTTGGTGACCTTTGGTGACCTGACCTGTGACCTGACCTGGTATGACCAGTGACCTCTAATAGCAACATATGTACTAGACAACTGACGCCTTATCCGCTGATTTTCGACAAAATGCGTTTTACTCGGTGTTATAGCCCTTTCCCTAGAAGCCCCGTGAACGGTGAAACATTTTATCTTTGACCTGACCTGTGACGTCATCGGTGACCCCGAGGTCAATGAAATTTGGTTTCCCTCCGACAAATTTGACAGGGCTATCGAACGCCGTTTGAATTCTCCGGATCCGTCCAGTAGTTTCGGAGATACGGGGGGGGGGCAAAAAAGTGCCCCCCCCCCCCCACCGCGCGGAAGGTGGCTGGTAGGCCCACCGCCTGCCGGGTTAAGATCCCACCAGAGGCTGCCGAATCCGATAACTCATCTCTGTCTGCCCGTCTAAATTACTACGCACCGTACGGCGCCCAGCCCCGTCGGAGCACTGAACCGACCGTGATATTTTTGGTTTTCCCCCATCCCCAGCTCCATTAGAAACGTTCTCTCTCCCCATCCAATTGCTCATGATGTCACTTCAAATTCAATACCTACCTCATCTCTGTCTGCCCGCCCATTCATTGCAGACCTTACGGCGCCCGGCCCCGCCAGAAGGATCCTAGCGCGCTGAGTGGTTGCCTCCAGCCGCGTCATCGCGAGGCCCCGCGGGGCCCGCAAATGAATACATTGCGTGAATAGCCGTGTCGCCCCCCTGAATTAAACACCAGTCTGGATTCACCAGCTGGTTGCCGGGAGTTGTGATGACGTTCGTGTGCTCGCTCACCAGAGTACGTTAGTCAACGATTATATTAGATATAAGAGAACCGAAAACCGAAAAAAAAATAATGGCAGAACGCTGCGAGCCTCTTCACTCAATCACCCTACCTTCATCTGCCAAAAGCTGCTACCGTCACCGCTTTCTCACATTACTACCAAATCCACCCCTTCTCATACATCCCTCGCCGTCCCCAGGCGAAGCCGCTGCGTCTGACGGAGATCACCAGGCCGCTGCCCAAGGACGAGCTCGAGAAGTCCATGACGGCGGCGCTCGACCGGCTGCTGGCCGCCGAGAAAGCCGGCCCGCGTCGGGGGACTGTTCTCCGTCCGAGCCAAACTGCTGGCCATGATGTCGGCCCACTTCACACCGCAGCTGTTGGACAGTGAGTCGGTGGGCGAAGGGAAGGGTTGATTATTTGTTTGAAGAGATGTTGTCAGATTAGGCAGCGAGATGGAGCGCTGTCGTAGGGCTCTGAGGGTCCGGGATGAAGAGGAAGAGAATGATGGGTTTGCTAGGGCTACAGGGTGTGTTTTGTTAGACCTCAAGATTATAGTCAAGTGATTAATTGGTGAGCTCTACGGTATGACTATTAGCTAGCTGCTTGGTCTCACTTGATGCTTTATCCTTACCCTAGACCTTACCTTCCCCAGATATTCCATTTCGCTGCGTCTTTTCTAACCCCTCATCTCCACAGAGATGCTGGTTCACATTCTGGAGGACATGCGCGGCCGGGCCGACCTGGTGTTCAGCTGGCTGTACGAGGAGTACTGCAACTCGGTGGGCTTCAGCAACTTTGGCCAGGTGATGCGCAGCACAGCCAACTACGAGCAGATCTTCTGCATGCTCATCTCGGCGCTGATGGTGCGGCCAGACTTCAAGGACGGAGAAATGTGAGTGTCGGGGCGGGAGGATGGGTGGCGGTGGCGGCGAGGGTCTGGTCTGGATTCAGGGAGGGATTATGTGAGAAGGGAAGGCTGGACTTTGGAAGTGAGAGGGAATTCGTAAGAAAAGGAATTGCAAGAAATTATGCAGGGCACCGCTGGAGGACCGTAACTTTGCCGTTGGCGTTTGCGATTCCTGTTATTTTCCCGTTATCTTCCCGTAATAATTTCCGTTGGCGATTCTAGTCTGTGCCCGCATTCAGGCATTCTAAAGATACTAGGCTGCTGACTTTCCCCCGCTCTCTGTACAGTGCTGAGTGCTGACTCTCCCCTGCTCCCTGCAGCCTGCTGACTCGTCTGTTCCTGGAGGCGCCGGTGGTTCCCGCCTCGGCCGTGGACATCCTGAAGGGGTTCAGCTCGGACCCGGCCACCTACCAGCTGGGCCTGCAGCTGTTTGGGCAGCTGCTGAGCGGCCGGCCCGGCCGGCAGGCCAGCTACGTGCCGGCGCTGCTGCAGCTGGCCACGGGAGCCGCCCAGGAGGTGAGCGGCCCCGCCGGGCGTCGTGGCAGGCGGGTGGGCTTGATGGAGCTCGGGATTAAATTAGCTGCGGGAGGGGGGTAATGACGGTTGCTAATGTTTGCTATGTTTGAAGAATTGAGGGATGCTAACTGTGCCATCGATTTAACTTTTTATCTTTCTCAGTACCTAGTTAGGAGAAATGGCTCTTGTGAGTTGGGACGTTTTTACTGAATTGGTAAAACAGTTGAGGCTACTACCCTTACCCCTTAGCTTATTCTTGTTCGTGAGACTTGCAGATTCTCTCATGAACATGGGATGCCTACGCCCCGTTTCATTTTTCAATGCGCCGTCGTCCATCAGTCAGGATGGCCGAGCGGTCTAAGGCGCTGCGTTCAGGTCGCAGTCTGGTTCTCCAGGCGTGGGTTCGAATCCCACTTCTGACAAATGGTTTTGGTTTTCTGCTAAAACCAAACCTCTCTAATTCAAGGGCATCGCTGTTTGATGTATTGGGGCGACCATTGCGCACAATTCGTATCTCCGTAACTGCTCACCCGTTTTTTTTTATATTCATGCAGATGAAATGTAAACAATTCAAATGAGCTGACGTTTGGCGGCAGTCTAATTTCTCCTAGTCCATTGGTCTGACGCCCCCAATCTCCGCTACAGATCCGCGACCGGGCGCTGGAGCTGGTGCTGCAGCTGCACCAGAGCAGCGCCACGCTGGCCACGCTGGTCGAACAGCACGCCGTGGAGCGGCTCAAGTGGCTCGGCGAGGAGACGCCGCCGGCGCAGCTGGTCACCGATCAGCAGAGGTAAGAGAGGTTCCGGCCGGGGAGGGTGACGGTTGGGGGGGGGGAGGAGACGCCGCCGCCGCCGCCGCTCGTCACCGATCAGCAGAGGTGAGAGAGAACACTCAGACTCTCCTCCTAAAAGTACTCTCCTCCCCCTGCCTATGAGTCTATGCAAGAAGGCCCAACGATATTGAAGGAAACTTTCAGAGGTTTGCCGACTCCGTAATGTTCCATCCAACAGTTTCCACATCTGTCGGTCGGTTAGTGATGTAATTGACTGACGATATCGCACCCCGTTCCAGCACCGTCCCGGAGGGGGTGACTCGCGAGTGGACGGACGAGCTGGCCAAGCTGTGTCTGCACCTGTACCTGGCGCTACTGCCGCGACGAGAGAGCCTCATACACGAGTGAGTGGGATTATATGGAGAGCCTCATACACGAGTGAGTGGGATATATGGAGAGCCTCATAACACGAGTGAGTGGGACGGGGAGAGCCTCATACACGAGTGAGTTAGACGGAAGAGCCTCATACACGAGTGAGTGAGATTATATAGAGAGCCTCCATACACGAGTGAGTGAGATTATATAGAGAGCCTCATACACGAGTGAGTGAGATTATATAGAGAGCCTTATACACGAGTGAGTGGGATTATATGGAGAGCCTCATACACGAGTGAGTGGGATTTATGGAATCAAACACGAGTGAGTGGGAGACCGAACTGACTCTCAGTGACTGAGTGACGTGGGTCTTAACGAGAGTTCTGTTGTTAAAACATAAATTGTGCTGAGTGTAAAATAGATTATACGGGTGCGATTAGTTGAAAGACAAGTTCCACCGCTTTCTTTTTGTTTTTATATTTTACTTGATTACTGAAAGGCTGCTATAATATAATCGTCCCGTACTTTATTTGAGGAATATCATCTAGGCTCAACACCCATGCTCGGGTGCTCCAACCAATCACACTACATATATGTGCGACCTCACCTCGCACCAGTGCGACCTGACGCATCCCCCGTCCACCCACCGGCCGCAGACTGGCGCACGTGTACGTGCTGACCACGGCCGACGTGAAGCGGACCATCCTGCGCGTGCTGGAGGCGCCCATCCGCGGCATGGGCATGGAGTCGCCCGAGCTGCTCACACTGGTCGAGACGTGTCCCAAGGGCGCCGAGACGCTCATCACGCGCGTCATACACATACTCACCGATAAAAGTAAGTGGCGGGTCCTGGTTCATACACATACTCACCGACCAAAGTGAGTGGCGGGCCGTACTCATACTCACCGATAAAAGTGAGTGAATTATCATACACATACCGATAAAAGTATGGACGATTTGTGATATGCATACAGATAAGGGCACGCAGTCGATACCTTGCTCATTGCAAATACCTACAAAAGTACGTAATCAAAGTGTGTAATCGGTGTTAGATATCAGATATCGATTACGATATCTGATATACGTACTCGATATCTGAAGAGGGTGTCTGACCTCCTCCCTTTCAGCACCTCCGTCAGTTGAGCTGGTGGACCGGGTGCGGGACCTGTACCAGAAGAGGGTGTCTGACCCCCCCCCCTTTCAGCCCCTCCGTCAGTTGAACTGGTGGACCGGGTGCGGGACCTGTACCAGAAGAGGGTGTCTGACCTCCCCCCCCTCTCAGCACCCCCTTCAGTTGAACTGGTGGACCGGGTGCGGGACCTGTACCAGAAGAGGGTGTCTGACCCCCCCCCCCCTCTCAGCCCCTCCGTCAGTGGAGCTGGTGGACCGGGTGCGGGACCTGTACCAGAAGAGGGTGTCTGACCTCCTCCCCCCTCTCAGCACCCCCTTCAGTTGAGCTGGTGGACCGGGTGCGGGACCTGTACCAGAAGAGGGTGTCTGACCCCCCCCCCCTTTCAGCCCCTCCGTCAGTTGAACTGGTGGACCGGGTGCGGGACCTGTACCAGAAGAGGGTGTCCGACGTGCGCTTCCTAATCCCGGTGCTGAACGGGCTGAACAAGAGCGAGGTGATCGCCGCGCTGCCCAAAATCAGACTCAACCCCGTCGTCGTCAAAGAGGTAGGCCGGGCGGTGGAGCGGCGATGGGTGTCAGATTATGGTGGGTGGTCTTGTAGGCGTATGTTGGCGCCTGGTTGTAGGGCAATGGATAGGGCGGCGATAAAGTGTTTACCGATAACGGAATACAGATGGTGGATTAACTAGGGCGTGGATGTACGACGTTTGGCGGCCTAGATTTGACGTAAGGTGACGCTTGTCGACGATATCTTGGGGATGGTTATGGTGACAATATTTGAAGACGAGGCGTCGATTCTCACACTATTGTATATCATCCTATATCCAAATGTCTTCTACTTTTGTCTAAATAGCGAAATAACGAATTTTGATTGGAAGCACAGTCACTCCTTTGGATGTTTCCGCTGTTTCGAAATGCCGGTCAGGGCGCACTGCGGTGTATATTCGGGCCTGTGTTATCGTTCGTTACATGACTCTGGGTCTCTCCGTGTGCAGGTGTTTAACCGGCTGCTGGGCATCCACGCGGACACGGGCAACTTCAGCTCGCCTCTGACACCCGTGGAGCTGCTGGTGGCGCTGCACAACATCGACCCGGCCAAGTGTGACATGAAGACAATCATCAAAGGTGAGCGCCAGCCGCCAGACGAATCGCGGGTCTGACCGCGGTACTGACACTGGCGGGGTGCGGTGTCGATCTGAGGAGGTTGACGATAGGCGTGTCGTTGTTCATGCTCGTTATTGCTTGAGCGCTATGCAGTATGCAATAATCAGTTTGGATGACATTGTACTCCTGAATTTTCTTACCACTTAACGACCAACACATTCGAATAAGTCGACCTTCTGCACGACTTTTCCGGATGATGTTCAATTAATTCACTATCTGTTTGCTTACAATAGTGTGGCTTTCATGCTCCTGTTTAGCGGCATGCTATTCGACACCATCGTAGCGGGTTTATGATATACCCACCCGTCTCCCCTCTCTCCCTCCCTCTCGTTTTCAGCGACGTCGCTGTGTTTCGCCGAGAAGCAGGTGTACACGCAGGAGGTGCTGGCCGTGGTGCTGCAGCAGCTGATGGAACAGGACCCGCTGCCCGTGCTGCTCATGAGAACCGTCATCCAGTCGCTGGCCCTCTACAACCGGCTCATCGGCCTGGTCATGAACATACTCACCCGGCTGGCCAGCAGACAGGTAGGGGAGCGTCGGGAAGTCCGGCGAACGTGGGACCGGGGAGGGGAGGCTGCTTCGCTCGGTATGTGAAGCGAGTGATACGACACCGGTGATTTCGAATACGGGACGGGTAGATGTGTGAAGGGCCGCTGTGGATAGAAAGGTTTTAATGTCGGACCCGAAACGAAGTTTTTTTTACTTTTTTTTGTAGCTCCGCCAACTTACCATCGATCTCCTGAATTCAAACCGCTTCTAATCCGTCGCCCATGATTCGCTTTTGTCCCAGGTGTGGACCGAGAAGAAGGTATGGGAGGGCTTCATCAAGTGCTGCCAGCGCACCAAGCCGAGCAGCTACCAGGTGCTGCTGCAGCTGCCCGTTGACCCGCTGCGAGAGGTGTTTGACACGGCGCCCGAGCTGCGCGCGCAGCTGCGCGACTACGTCAACGGCTTCACGGCCTCTCAGCGGGAGCACCTGCCGGCCGACGTTTTCGAGCTCATCACGGGCAGGAAGCCGGGCGAAGAGCCGGTGAGTGACTGGTGGAGGGGAATGGGAGGGCGGGAGGAGAGCTGGTGGGGAGGCAGCGGATGGGGGAGGGAGAAGGAGCTTGGGAGGAAGCTGATAGAGAGCGGGAGGAGCTGGGGTGAAAATGAGGGACGTTGGAGGGGGGGGGGGGGGTGAGGTGGTGCGAGGAACGCATGATGAAAGCTGAAATGAGTATTTGAAGGAGATTACACATGCGGTTTGGTGATGGCAGGAATGTATTGTCAAACGGTTGAGATCACATGGTTTTGGTGAGTTTGTCACCCTGCTCCCGCCCCGGGACGTGTGTTTCGAACCCGCGGTGACCTCCCTCCCTCCCTCCCTCAGCAGCGGGTGTCGCCGCCGCCGGCACCGGAGCCGGCCGCCGAGCCGCCGCCGCGACTGCCTCGCGCTCGGAATCGGAAGCGCTCCAAGCGACACCCGCCCTCCTCGGGCGCCGCCGACGCGCCCATGAAGGCGATAGACTACTGACGGGCCGGCCGGAGCGATCCACTCTTTCTACCGAGACGGGCGCGCGCCGGGTGCCGGGCGCAGTCAGGGCTGTGATGGAGCCACCAGCCGGGCCACCGGCTCACACACGGGGAGTCGGTCAGAGTCGCCACGGATAGAACTCTCAGAATGGCCGGCGACCTCCGGCCGGAACACAGTGCAGGGGGGACGGGCGGGCGGCCGGCCGGTATCGCCATTCCAACGCGTCTGTCGTGTTCTACCGCGGACGTGTCTCCGCTACCACTAACTGAGGCGGCCCGGGCCGATCGCGGCGGGCGGGCGCCGATCGGCCCCGCAGCCGCTCACTCTATTGGACAAACTCGCTGGTTTTGTATGTGCTCTGTTGGTGTTGTTGACGTCATCGGTTACGCCGTACGGGTGTGGCCAAATACACGCAAATGAGAGTTGTCTGTGTTGATAGGTGGGGTCCGGAAGGCGGAACTCAGGATACTGAGTGACTGGCTGGGTGCCACATGCTGCTGGAAAACGAGTGTGGCTGGTCCTGGTTGGTCCTGGGGTTCTTCAAACATGGGGACATGCGTGTGCATGGGTCGGGCGGAGCGAGTGGAAGTTTGCACATGGGCCACGTCGGAATAGCGCCAAGTCACGGTGACTGGCGGTCTGATGCGTGCTACACGGTTCGCCGGGCGCCGTTCACTTCAGTGCATGGGTTCGTGCGGAGCAGAAAGGAGTTCGTTGCTTGAGATTCAGTTGATTGGGAAGACAGAGTTATAAACGGGACGGGGCCGCAGTGCCGCGGCGCACGTGCCGCAGTGCAATGTAAGGTGTAAACTGTAAAGCAAGTGTAAAGTTCAATGGTAGATAAATTTTTAACCTCGGCAGATTTTGTTGTGCTACCAAATCTTCATTTCTGGCGCAAGAGTTCCGTTTGCAGCGCGATCCCGACCGTAAAATAAACATCGAAACGGTGCAGTTCGCGTTGAATTTACCAATAATTTACGCAATTTACGGTGAGTTTTACAGGAAAAGTTTATCCATAAACTTGAAATGTTTTGATAGAATCTGTTAGAAGTGTCAAATGTTGTGGTCTATACTCGCACTATCAATTAATCACCTTATGAAAAATGTTTGCCATTTTCATTTTTCAGCCAATGCATTGCCAAGCATTTTCAAGGCATCTTGCATCAAAAGTTTTTGTTTCAAGGATTTCAATCATGATCTTGCCTTTTAATATGGTCAAGTCAAACAGCCATCCTAATGTTATTCTTAATTCTCACCTCATTTCAGTTCTAACACCAGATCTCAACAGGAGGATATCTGAAGATAACGGCCACTGTGCAGTTGCACAATGGACCCTATAACTGTCGGGATCATTACAGGTATGTTCAAGCTCTTTTCTTGTTTTTTACATATTGACATGCCACTTTTGATTTTATGATGATAAATGGTAATGATTTACTGTTTTACGAGCTACACCGCACAATCAATCTTCCTGAAATCACTTTGATTGATCTATCATGTCCCTATCTTCATGATAACATTCATCTTTTTCCACAGTGAGTGACCGTGTCTCAGCCGGGAAGGCTGAAGACCGCTCTGGCCCAGCCCTAGTGACGCTTCTGGAGAGTGGGGAGCTGTTCCCTGCAGAAACCCGTGAGATCAAAGTGGTGCCAGATGAAAAGGAGGATATCCAGGTCAGTGATTATGTCAGCTTGGCCTTGTGTTGTATGATTTGTGATTCTCTGAGGCTGATTTGCCAATCAGCCTAATTTGCTGACAAAAAATTTTCTGACTGCTCTTTTTGACTCTGACTCTGTTGTGGTCTGTACTTAACACCCTGAAAGCTTAGGTATCAAAGCTGACCTTCTGTGAGCTAGTAATAAACTTGCTCTGTGTGCTCCCCTCAGGCAGCAGCTGTGGCAGGAGCATTCTGCATGCTGTGACCTGATGCTGACCTCCATTTCTCTGTCAGCTACGGCAGTGTGGTCTGGTACTGACCTCTGTGACCCCTCCCCCTCAGGCAGCAGTTGCGGAGCTCGCCCCACGCTGTGACCTGGTGCTCACCTCCGGCGGCACGGGGTTTGCCGCGCGGGACGTCACCCCGGAGGCAGTATCTCCACTGCTGGAGCGCCCGGCGCCCGGCCTGGTGGCCGCCATGCTGAACGGCTCGCTCGCTATCACCCCGATGGCGATGCTGTCGCGGCCAGTGGCGGGCGTGCGCGGCCGCTGCGTGGTGGTCACTCTGCCGGGCAGCACCAAGGGCGCGGTGGAGAACCTGCGGCTGCTGGCGCCGGGCTGCCGCACGCGGTGGACCTGGTCCGACACCGCCTGACCCAGGTCCAGGACGTCCACCGACAGATGCAGGGCGGGGACGAGACCGGCGGCGAGAAGACAGCCTCCAGGGAAACAACGACGGACTCCACGACATTGTCGGTGGACGCAGGCTCTCGTAAAACGTCTCTAACATCGGACTCTGCTAAGACTTCTCCGCTGGCAGCGGCGGGACACCAACACCAGTGTCCCCACCAGCTCCAGTACACTGCCGCCGGCGACTCCACAGTGGACCTCTCCCAGGTGTCGGCTCGGGACCGGCGCTCGCCCTACCCCGCCATCTCCCTCTCGGAGGCACAGAAGATCACTATTGACGCCGTGTCGGCGCACCAGCCGACCGTCGAGACGGTGAACATCACCGCTGCACTGGGCCGCGTGCTGGCGGAGGACGTGTCGGCGCGCGTGCCGCTGCCGCCGTTGCCCCCCTCGGTGAAGGACGGGTACGCCGTGCTGGCCGCTGACGGGGTGGGGATCCGGCGCGTGCTGGGCGCCTCCAACGCGGTGTGGACGACGGCGGCGCCTCGGAGACAGTGCTGGCCGGCACGTGTGTACGGATCAGTACCGGCGCGCCGCTGCCGGCCGGCGCCGACGCCGTGGTCATGGTGGAAAACACCGCCTCGTGGAGGCGTTCCGGACGGCCGGCGCGAGCTGCGCGTGGAGATCCTGGCGGCGCCGGCCGAGGGGCAGGACATCCGTCCGATCGGTAGCGACATGGCCGTGGACACGCCGGTGGCCGGCCGCGGCACTCGGCTGGGGGCGTTCGAGCTGGCGGCGCTGGCAGCCGCCGGGTGTGTGAGCTCCAGGTGTACTCCCGGCCGACAGTGGCCGTCCTCTCCACCGGCAACGAGGTCCAGGAGCCCGGCCAGCCGCTCGCCGCCGGACGCATCTACGACACCAACCGGCTCACCCTGCTCTCCGCCCTGCCGGCCGCCGGAGCCGAGGTCATCGACGCCGGCATCGCCATCGACGAGCCCGGCGTGCAGCTGGCGGCGATGCGGTCGGCGCTGCGCCGCGCCGATGTTCTCGTCACCACCGGCGGAGTCTCGATGGGCGAGAGGGACATCAAGCGGCTGCTGATCCAGGACCTGGGCGCGACCATCCACTTCGGCCGGTGCTTCATGAAGCCGGGCATGCCAACCACGTTCGCCTCGCTGACGATGGACGGCCGGCCCAAGTTCGTGTTCGGCCTGCCCGGTAACCCGGTGTCGGCTGCCGTGTGTAGTGTTCTCCACGTCCTGCCGACCCTGCGGAGGATGGCCGGCCTGTCTGACTACCGCTACAGCACGCTGTCGGTGCGGCTGGAGCGCGAGGTGCGCCTCGACCCGCGGCCCGAGTTTGTACGCGCCACTCTGACACCGTCGGCGGGCGGCGGACGGCCCACCGCGCGCGCCACCGGCAGCCAGCAGAGCAGCAACGTGCGCAGCCTGTGCGGCGCCACCGTGCTGCAGCTGCCGGCCTCCTCCCAGCGGTGCGCCCAGCTGCCGGCCGGGGCAGAGGTGGACGCCATCCTCCTGCACGGACACCTCTGTGAGTGGACTGGGGTGGGACTGGGAGGATGCATGCGGGAAGTTGCCTCACGCGAGGGATATGTTTTGCCGATTTTTACGCCTACCATATATGAAATTGTATCTTGTTTATTTCAGTTATATTACGTATGTTTGCTTGATGAGCAGAATTTTGTGGATGCCACGATATGATAGTCATTTTACCTTTTCGTATTATTTGTGCAGCCTCAGCCATTTTCTTTGTAGCTGCTTATGCCACGAAAATGTGATATAAGCACTGTCCACATGTCTAAGTAATTACCCATATGCACGTATAGCCGGCCGTGGTGCTTACCCCCGTACGGTTATTCACTTTTCCCGGTTCCCTCCATATTCAGCTGTATCGACATGTGTGACAGTGGCTCCTCTTTTCACAGAATCGTGCCTGTTTGACAAACGCCGGACTATATTCTGCCACTGGTGCGGGTAATGCTCCGGTCCAGGCATCTCCAATCGGTGGTGCCCCGATCACTGCAGCAGCGAGCAGGCTACCATCGAAAGGTCCTGCCAACGCAAGTAATTCGTGCTTGTCTTCCAGTTCAGGGTATAGTGATTATCGTGCTTTTATGAATGCGAGGTAGTTTGAGACGTCCTTATGCATATGAATTTTTACTCAATGCATAATGTTTCATGGAGAATCGAACTTTTGCCGTGAGAGGGATGGTGGAATACAGAGGTCTATGGTGGAATCTTTAGATGTGGGTGGCTTTGCAATCACCAGTTGTTATTTTTGCTATCAACTTTTGATTGTGCCAAAAGTTAACTTGTTCCCATGATTGTGAAGTAATTGTCACTAATCTTGTGAGTTGGAAGGCCCGGGTCACTGTGATAGCTGCGTCCTTGTTGGACTAATTTTGTGGATGGTTTTGCAATTTATTATAGCAATGCATTGGTCTGTATCGAAAAGCCTTGGTGAGTAACCAACAGGGGCTTCGCCCACGTAGTAGAAATTACGCATAAGGTTACACTGGGAACTAACGTAGCTTACCTTTTCGTTCTTTTCTTATCTGGCCAGCGCCTAGTGTCATCTTTGCTAGATTACATGATGCCCTTAAAAGTTTGTTAAAACTGTTTCTTGGCCAGTGCGGAAAAGGTCACGTCGTGTCGTGTCATCAAGCTAATATATTGATTTGACTTTAACGATGGAGTTTTGTACAAAATAAATCGATACAGAAGCTCGTAGGTAATTATTTGCCTCAATCTGACTGAAACGGTATTTCATGCTAGTTGTTCTCGAATCTGTATAAATCCATATTCAAGAGCCACCATTGTTTCCATGCATCAAAAATAATCGTTTCCATACGTCCACTTACGTCCTTATCACCTATGGTCACAACTCGGAATGCGGCGAAGCTACGGAATAGCTGCATATCGTCTTGCAGGGTGTTGAACGAGCTCCGAAGGGCGGCAACGTGTTTTGAAAATATGCAGTTGAATTCTAACAAAGGGATCCCTGATGTTTTACCAACAAGATTCCATGCTTATCATTTAGTACATTTTCATTCACATTCAGTAATCATGTAACGGCAA